GTGAGGTTATATGACAAATGTTTTTGGGTGGGGTGATAGAGCACAAACCAATGAATAATCATTGGGTAAAGATAATTTTACATACTGTAGTCAGAACACGAATTATTGCGTATTTTCTCTTCTTGCTTCTGTGTTGGTCCGGGGTCTTGAAGTGGGTAGAATGTAATTGTGTTATTTGGCTGTTTGCTGGTGTTGACTTTTGATGTGTAGGGCTTCGCTGATGTCGAGCTGCCTGCTGTCGCTGTATTTGTCGATAATTTCTGTGTTGCTAATTTGCTAAATTTCTGTGTGTTAATTTGTGTTCCCTGATCACAGCAAAAAAATAGAAAAATCGTAAGTGGCATATTTTGGCTGCAATAGGGCGGAGAAGTGTGGCAAAAAAGAGGCGTTGACAGAGCAGGCGCCAGACGACGTCTGCTCTACCCAAGCTGTCAGGAGGGAGTTGCCACAAAGATATTATTACCTAATTATTTCAATGTCTCTGATTTTTTCTTTGTTTTTTGCTGTAATATTATTCAATAGTGTGTAGTGTGATATATTTATATAATAAATTGTGTGAATCATCGCTGTACTCAAAATTATGGTGTGCATATTACTGATTCAATTATTATGTTCATAAAACAATAAACAAATACTTTGTCGGTTATTAGACTATATACACAGGTTATATACAAGTATCTGCATGTTTTGTTCACCATAACGAACCACTAACTTGATATACAGAGTCAGAAAGCAACAAGGAGTGGCCACCACATCTGCCAGCCATCCTCTCGCTGCCACTCCCTCCCTCAAAAACTTCTCACTCGCCAACATCCTCCTCCCACCATACTGTTTTTGCTTTTATTCACTATATACAGACATTATATATAAGTATCTACATGTTCTGTTCACCATAACTGTTCATCTAAGCTGGCATAGTGCACAAAGAGCATAGTGGTCACCCTTACACAGCATGACAAGTCAGGAAGATGATGCCACCTCCCTCACCAAAATGGCTTCTCCCAACACTCCTTTTGCTGTTTTTACACTTTATATGTACGTTATATATAAATATCTACATTTGTGTTTGCCATAGCGACCCACTAAGCTGGTATTATGACAGCAGACAGTAACAGGCGGCCACACACATAACTGATGCTCCCACCCTCCCTCCCTCACTGGTTCAAGGCCAGATGCACTAACATTCCTTCTTCAAGTATACTGTTTGTGGTGTTATATATAACGTGCATATATAGTGTAATAAGTATCTACATTTGTGTTCACCATTACGAACCACAAAGCTGGTATGCCGAGTCAAACAGCAGCAAGGAGTGACCACTACACACCAGCCAGCCAGCCTGCCATTGGCTGCCACTGGCTGCCACTGGCTGCCACTCCCTCCTTCACCTCACCTGACTCTCCAACATTCTCCTCCAACCATACTGTTTTTGCTTTTATTCACTATATACAGATGTTATATATAAGTATCTACATGTTTTGTTCACCATAGCAAACCACTAAGCTGGTATAGTGAGTCCAGACAGTAAAAGGTTGTCACAAAGAGTCAGCAGACAATGCTACCTCCCTCCCCACCAACATTACTCCTCCCACTACAGCACTAATTATCACAACAATCCTGCTATTATCAGAATACTGGTCATATTTATCCCAGTCAGGGGTCTTCTGTAATACTATCATCCCTACGTTGCTGGAACCTTGTGTATTGGCATTTGCCTTTCTATTGGATAATTTCAGCAAAGTGGAGAGGGGGGACCTGCTGCATGGGTAACAGTTTCTCCTCCATATGAGATATATATACAAGAGTTGTTACATTCTTGTACAGCCACTAGTACGCGTAGCGTTTCGGGCAAGTCCTTAATCCTATGGTCCCTGGAATACGATCCCCTGCCGCGAAGAATCGTTTTTTCATCCAAGTACACATTTTACTGTTGCGTTAAACAGATGCTACAGTTAAGGAATTGCGCCCAGTAAATCCTCCCCGGCCAGGATACGAACCCATGACATAGCGCTCGCGGAACGCCAGGCGAGTGTCTTACCACTACACCACGGAGACTGCTACCTACCCAGGCTTTGTGCCCTGTCAAGGCGCAACTCCATAGTCTTTAGACTGAAGGATGCCTACTATATATCATTGCTAAATAATAGCATGTACTGTACATATATATTTTGAGATTTTTAGGCGATGCTGTGGTCACAAGCTGAACAGCAGTGCTGTGAGCTCATGCTGCATGCACCAGCCTTGGTGGCTCACTCAGTACTGAGGGCCCTCACACCTGGGAATGTTACCCATGATATAAAAAGAAAGGGTTAACAGTTTTAGGGTTAACCTCATTTTCTTCCATATTATAATACATTACATACTTTATTCCCAAAAAGACATGGTCACTTTTACCCAAGGGAGGGAGGTACTGAATGTCAAATATCTCTTCCTCTTTCCTGGTAAATATCAAATCCAGCATGGAGGGAACGTCCCGTTCCTTCATCCTCGTAGCTTGTTTAAACACGTTGATGAGGATGAGGTTTACGAATCTACAAATCCAAAAATTCTCTATTTTAGCTTCATATGCCTCCCAGTCTATAGATTTCAAGTTGAAGTTGCCGACTACCAACAGTCGTGATCTATCTTTATCAGCTCTCGCTATAATCTCTCATATTATTCTTATAAGCCTCTCACGTTTATTATCCAGCTCCTCCTTTGACCATGTATTGCATGGCGGTGGACTATATGCATTTATGATCATTAGTTTTATCATCCTGATTGCAGATCTCTAGTGCTATTATGTCAACTTCTTGTGGATTGGCAATCATTATTTCATTTACCTTTAGGTGTTCTTTTACCAGCACAGCGACGCCACCGCCTTTCCTAATATTTCTGTCCCATCTCCAGACTGAGTAGCCCCTTGGGAATATGACCTCATTTAAAATATCATTTACCTTTAGGTGTTCTTTTACCAGCACAGCGACGCCACCGCCTTTCCTAATATTTCTGTCCCATCTCCAGACTGAGTAGCCCCTTGGGAATATGACCTCATTTAAAATATCATCTTCAAGTTTTGTCTCCGTGAGTGCAACAATATCTGGTGTCTGCAGCTGTATTACATCACCTTATTACTCCTCTCCTTATTCTTCACTACCCCTTTCTTTAGTGATTTTGTTGGTTTGCCTTTTTGTACCATTTTACTAGTCTGCCTACCCCTATTACTTTGTAGAAAAAAGAATTGCTTTCTTCTTCATTCCTGCTCTCATTTAGACGTTTTTCCTCGACGAGGTTCAGTTTTAGCTTCTCTCTGTCTTCTTTTGAAAAATCTCGTCTTAATGACCATACTTTCCTTTCCTCATCACTTGGTAATTTTCTAGCATTCTGTCATAGAATGGAAAAGTTTTCCACTAGTCTGTGAACTCTGTCCCTACATTGTAAACATGTGGACCGCTTGTCCACTTGTGTGTGATCCAACTTGTCATATGAAGGAATTATTAATTGTAACCTGTGATAGAATAAGAAAGTTTCCACCAGTCTGTGAACTCCGTCCCTACATCATAAGCAAATCCACACATCCCCTGCTTCGGCGAACTATTGTTTGTCGAAACAGGCGAGTAAATTCGGCCTGAAAAGTGTGCGACCTAGCTGGAGATTCATTGTATCGGGGTATGTTGAATCAAGGTTGTACTGTAATTATAAAAAGATCTTCGCTCTCACTTCAGTTATATTTATGTCAAAGTATTAACTACATTTTGGATTGTGAACAATGCAAATGTAGAGAAGAGCAACCCAAGGCATGTCCTATGGGGGCCTGGTCTTGTTCACAGCTGTGTCTTGACTAAGAATGTATTTGCTGTCATTTTCACTCATTATATAGTCCACTACAGTATTTTGACATTCATTCAGGGAGATCCTCTTGTTAGCACAAATATTTCAGTTATAATAGTAACATCCAATATACAGAAATACGATATTCTGTCTTAAAAGACATGGTAGGGGTGTGACATGTTATCCTCCCAGAGGGTGGATGAGTGCTGATGGCTTCCGAATTTGATCAAACTAAGGCCACCTACTGTCGAAGGCATCTGGAGATGCCTCCAACAGTAGCAGTTATATTCAGACATCTGCAGGTTTGATCTTAAATTTGTCCATGTGTTTAGTCGCTCATGATCCACACCACAGAAACCCACGAAGATGCTCACAAGCCCAGTCTGCACAAGAGACAATACAAGACGTGATAGCTCATTCTGCAAGATGTCTTGAAATACTTCTTTGTATAAAAATTAAAATTGATTTGATTTGTTAATTTAGATAAATTATGTCCTTCCTGCTGCCACTGTGATAGGAGGTGGGAAGCAGCTCTGGCTAGGCTGCATTTCGATCACACACTCTTAATTCACGGACACTTGATGGAACAGCGCCCTGCTCCTTATTATTCCAACTGTGTTGTCCCTCTTACACTTGTGCACCTCCTCATAAAAAATCCCCATTTTTCAGCATGACTTAAGTTTTGCTTTCCTAATGTCTCCTGCGAGTCATTTGTCCCTCATTAGATTCCTTAGTGAATTTGATGCCTTTTAATGGCTTTGACATCACTCGTGTTCTCTCTTTTGCTATGGTATTGGCATCCTGAGTGAGATTTAGGACCTTTTGAATATCCTACAACACAGATGGTGCTGAACAGTCTTTCCGACTTGGTGCCTTCTTTTGATAATTACTTATTTACTTCAAACAAATTACAAAATGCAATTTGTCTGTTTTTGCAATAAAAATTGAGATAATAGAATTTTTAAGCCAAATAAAAAATTGAAATAGCCGAAGTACATTTTTGTTGTCACTTTTAGTCTATTATTGCACGGTATTAATGTGTAGAGAAACGTAATACTGTAAAATAAATTAAAATAATGTTTATACAGTATTGAGAAGTTAAATAATTAAAGCATTGAATGAATTTACAAGGAACATTAACATTTATTGTTAGATGAATATTTAGCAATTTACTTACTATTAACGTCTTCAGATTTTTAAGACGAGAAATGAAGCTGTGATTTGACTCTTGAGTAGACTTCTGCAACTGGCCAACAGATGGAGCCGTTGAGTCATCCTGATGTGACGAAAGTGAACTGTAGACCCCCTGACCACCAGGGATCCATACGTCTCAAGCAGGTGAGAAAAATCACCAATTTGAAATAACTGCTTGAACTATTGAGCAATTAATTGGATAACACTGTTTGCAAGCTTTGAAAGTCTGCATATCATGTAGCTTTATCATAGATCGTGAACTTCATTGTGAACTCTCCACGATCATAGGTCATGAACCTCACATTGTGCACTCTCCACGATCATAGGTCATGAACCTCACATTGTGCACTCTCCACGATCATAGGTCATGAACCTCACATTGTGTACCCTCCACGATCATAGGTCATGAACCTCACATTGTGCACTCTCCACGATCATAGGTCATGAACCTCACATTGTGCACTCTCCACGATCATAGGTCATGAACCTCACATTGTGTACCCTCCACGATCATAGGTCATGAACCTCACATTGTGCACTCTCCACGATCATAGGTCATGAACCTCCCATTGTGCACTCTCCACGATCATAGGTCATGAACCTCACATTGTGTACCCTCCACGATCATAGGTCATGAACCTCACATTGTGCACTCTCCACGATCATAGGTCATGAACCTCACATTGTGCACTCTCCACGATCATAGGTCATGAACCTCACATTGTGTACCCTCCACGATCATAGGTCATGAACCTCCCATTGTGTACCCTCCACGATCATAGGTCATGAACCTCCCATTGTGTACCCTCCACGATCATAGGTCATGAACCTCACATTGTGTACCCTCCACGATCATAGGTCATGAACCTCACATTGTGCACTCTCCACGATCATAGGTCATGAACCTCCCATTGTGTACCCTCCACGATCATAGGTCATGAACCTCCCATTGTGTACCCTCCACGATCATAGGTCATGAACCTCACATTGTGTACCCTCCACGATCATAGGTCATGAACCTCCCATTGTGTACCCTCCACGATCATTGATCATGAACCTCGTATCATGCATCCCACTTGATAATACACAAGATCTTAAACAGGGAGTCCAGCCTAGACTCCTGTCACTAGTAAAATTTCATTGGAGACACTTTTGGCCTTTAGACAGGCTTGTACACATGTAGATGTGTGTGTAAATTTATACCCTGTATATATTTTCATGTTGAAGTAGTAGGCATCCTTCAGTCTCAGGAGACTATGGAGTTACGCTCTGGTTGTCAATCCTGGAGCAGCGTCTGGTGTGACCGATGAGGCCAATCCAAGAATGGCAGTCCATCCCACATTGAGCACAAACGAAGTCCGCTTCTGGTCTGTCTTCCTGGCTACCGGCTTTCCTTCTCTGTCTCTTTGCCTCCAATTTCTTGGCAAGTAACTCGTCGAACTTGGAGAGACCTTTCTGAGCAGACTGCCTCCAGGCTGAACGGTCTGCAGCCAGTGTTTCCCACGTAGCAAAATCAACGTCTATGGCTTTCAGGTCCCTCTTGCATACGTCTTTGTACCGTAGCTGGGGCTTGTCTGTTGGATGCTTTCCCTGCGTCAGCTGTCCATACAGGAGATCCTTGGGGGATCCTGCCATTGCCCATTCGCACAACGTGCCCGAGCCAGCGCATTCGTCTCTGTTTCAGCACTGCGTACATGCTGGTGATTCTAGCTCTCCCCAGGATGTTGCTGTTTGTCACCTTGTCCTGCCGGGTGATGTCCAAGATGTGTCGAAGGCAGCGCATGTGGTAGGCATTCAGCTGTCTTTCCTGACGGGCGAGGAGTGTCCAAGACTCGCTGCCACAAAGGAGAGTGCTCAGGACACAGGTTCTGCCCACACTCTCTTTGTCAGTCTGGACATGGTAATAGATGCCTTACCGATGCGTTTGTTTAGCTCCGTATCAAGAGAAAGGGAGTCAGAGATTGTGGAGCCCAGGTACACGAAGTCGTGAACGACTTCCAGTTTGGAATTGGAAATGCCGATGTCAGGTGAGGAGTCCACTCCTTGTCCCATAACCTGAGTTTTCTTCAGACTGATGGTGAGTCCGAAAGCTTGACAGGCCTCGCTGAAGCGGGTCATGAGCCGCTGGAGGTCTTCGGCTGAGTGGGCAGTGACTGCTGCGTTGTCGGCAAAAAGGAAGTCGTGCAGACACCTCAGCCGAACCTTCGTCTTGGCTCTCAGCCTGGCGAGGTTAAAGAGCTTTCCATCTGACCTGGTCTGGAGGTAGATGCCTGCTGTGGCAGATCCGAAGGCGCGCTGCAGCATAACTGCGAAGAAAATCCCGAATAGGGCTGGAGCCAGTACGCAGCCTTGCTTTACTCCACTTCGGATGTTAGGCCATCAAAGACCACGGTGCCCCTCATGTTCTCATGGAAAGATCTGATGATGCTGAGGAGCCTGGGTGGGCATCCGATCTTGGGGAGGATCTTGAACAGGCCATCCCTGCTGACGAGGTCGAAGGCCTTCGTCAGATCTATGAAGGCTACAAAGAGTGGCTGCTTCTGTTCCCTGCATTTCTCCTGCAGTTGTCTGAGGGGAAAAGACCATGTCGATGGTGGACCTGTCGGCTCTGAATAAGCATTGTGATTCTGAATAGACTCTCTCTGCAAGTACTTGGAGCCTCTTCAATGGGACTCGAGCAAACAGCTTTCCGACAATACTGAGGAGGGAAATTCCATGGTAATTGTTGCAGTCGCCTCTGTCACCTTTATTCTTATACAGCGTGACGATGTTGGCATCCCTCATGTCCAGTGGCACCTCTCCTTCCCAGCAGAGGCAGAGGATTACATGCAGCTCCATGAGCAGGCTGTCTCTGCAGCACATCAAGGTCTCAGCAGGAATGCCGTCTTTGCCAGGAGCTTTACCAGAAGCAAGGGAGTCTAGGGCCTCGCTGAATTCTTCGAGGGTCGGTTCGCTGTCGAGCTCCATTAACACAGGCAGGCACTCAATGGCACTCAGGGCGTCTTCGGTGACCACATTTTCCCTGGTGTATAGCTCAGAGTAGTGCTCGACCCAGCGCTTCAGCTGCAGTGTCTGGTCCTGAATCACCTCGCCTGTGGCAGATTTCAGAGGAGCAGTCTTCTTCTGGATTGGTCCGAGGGCCTGCTTGATGCCGTTATACATTCCGCTTACATTGTCTGTATCTGCTGCAGTCTGTATCTGGGAGCAGAGCTGGAGCCAATAGTTGTTGGCACATCGCCTGGCGTTCTGCTGCACTTTGCAGCGGACGACCCGAAGGATCTGTAAGTTGCGCTGACTTGGGCAGGCTTTGTAGGCTGCCAAGGCGTTTCTCTTCTCTTCGATGACAGGTGTCATCTCTTCCGAGTGAGCCTCGAATCAGTCTGCCGACCTGCTGGTCTTCTTGCCAAAGGTGGACATGGCAGTGTTGAACACAGCATCTTTGAAGTGCTCCCATCTTTTACAGGCAGTGACCCCAGCTGGGCCAGGGAGAGCTTCCTCGAGTACACGCTTAAAATCTTCCACCTTGTCCTGGTTGCGGGTCTTGGTGGTGTCAATGCGAGGTCTGTCCGCCTTTTTCGAGTGATGAATCTTCTTTGGTTGTATCTTGACCCTGCTACATACCAGGGAGTGGTCGGTGTCACAGACAGCACTCTGGTAGCTACACGTAATCTTGACACTGGGTAGACTGGCATGCCTGGTAAGGATTAGGTCAAGCTGGTGCCAGTGCTTGGATCTGGGGTGTCTCCAAGAGACTCGGTGTTGAGGCTTTGTGCCGAAGAACGTGTTAGTGACACAGAGAACACGAAGGCAGCAGAGTTCTAGTAGACGTTGCTCGTTCTCATTCATCCTCCCTATGCCAAATTGACCCAGACAAGTGGGCCAAAAGTTGTGACCGGCACCCACTCTGGCGTTGAAGTCGCCGAGGATGAACAGTGGCTCCTTTACAGGGATTCTCGCTATGACTCTGTTGAGGTCATCGTAGAATTTTTCCTTTGCCTCTGCTGGAGAAGTCAGGGTTGGTGCATATGCACTAATTACATTGACTGGTTCTGTTTGGGAATGCAGTTGCAGAGACAGAATTCGTTCGGTTTCCCCCATCGGTGGCATAATGTGTCCCAACAGTGCATTCCTGATGGCAAATTCCACACCATGTTCTCTGGTCTCATCAGGTGGTTTTCCTTGCCAGAAGAAAGAGAAGGCCCTCTCTCTCTCTCTTACAAATCCTGATCCTGGAAGCCTGGTCTCTTGGAGAGCAACAATATCCATCTGCAGTTTGCTTAGATGTTGAAGTAGGCTTTTGATTATTAGGTATCCTCATTATTGTTTCTTTTTGTACAGTGGTTTATGTCCTATACAGTACAGTATTTGCAATCGAGAGACCCAGCTTCGATACCCGGGCGGAACAGAAATGGTTGGGTATATTTCTTTTTAGCTGATGTCTGTTCACCTAGTAGTAAATAGGTACCCAGGAGTTGTCTTTTGTGGGTTGCATCCTTGGGAAGATCAGTAGTCAGTCTAGTGCGGGCACCACAGTATGCCTAAGAACAGGCTTCCTGTCCCTGACAGTAGAAATTATTATTGCAAAATAATTATTTTGTTCACCGTGTTTGATATTAAAGTTTGATCTCGGTTTGAAATTCATAACATTTATGACTGAGCCTCCCTGATGGCAGATTTTATCACCATTTTAATGCATTGCCAGGAACCTTAAACAGTATTTTGAAAACAAATGAGCATGGCTATACTAAAATTTGCTCTCAAATGTTTTATATTAGTATTGTTGAGGTTTTTTAAGCAAATCCTCTTTGATTGCTCCCTAAGCCAGTAGGATCTGTGCAAGCAATCCACTGTTTTGAAACTATTCTTATCAACTTTTGCTCCACTGTGACGGTGAACTTTGCAAATAGTTTTGCCGAGTAAAGTTCCTGACGTCGGGGGACAGGAAGCCTGTACTTAGGCTTATCCAGTTCTCCCTAGGCCGGGATGCAACTCGAAACAGTTGACTATCTTTGACTTTGACTATCTATTTTCCTGCTAGGTGAAGAGATGCATCAGGTGAAAGGAAATGTGCCTTACCATTTCTGTCATGCCCAGGGATTGAGCCTGGGTTATTTGATTGTGAGGTGATGATGTAGACCAATGCTACACAGAGGAGACAACAGAGAGAGCTCTCAATTTACCACCGAGATGTGCTGCATGTTAGGATGCCAAAAGGGGGCAACAACATCCAACTTTGAATGTACTGAAATGTCTTTTTCTGATGGTTCCCAGACAATCTTGTTAGGCCTCCCCTAAGCAATGATCAATAATTGGTGACACAACTGCACTCGGGAAACTAGCAACCCCCCGATGTCCAGCAGGTGATAGATCACTAGGGTACTGTATAGGGCCAGGGAAGGCGCCATCCCTAGTTTTCTCCATAACATGAACCCGCTGAGAATCCAGTTCTGCACAGGTCAATTTATTCAAGTTACTGAGAATAAGTCACAATGTGGCAGCACATGAATACCCTGTAGTTATGTAGGAGTTAGGCAACTGTTGTGGTTTGTATCCTGGGGAAAGTCGGCTGTTGACTTAGGCTTATTGAGGTCCCATCAATAAGCCTAAGTGCAGGCTTTCTGTCCCTGACAAACAAAATTATTTATATCATTGATAATTGAATATTCTTTTGTTAGGCTAATGTTAAGTTCGTATTAAAAAAAGTCCATAAACGTGTTGTATACCGTTTACTGGACTCTTCTAATTGGTATAATCCATTATCTGAACTGCCTAGGCCTCAAAGATACAAAGTACAGTACTGTAATAGATATTTACTATATTATTACTATATTTGCCAGCTAACAGGAGACACTGTTATAACATTAAATTTATGCAGAATGTCATAGCTTACATGATAGAACATGATTTCAGTTTGTTGAAAGATACAGCAGTGTACTTTTATCTTGTAGGATATTATGGAGAAGGAGCATATATCTTGTTCGGATGAAGCCACTGTGCAAGCAAGGTCACGATCCAAGACAAAGAAGAGAAGGACGTCAACATCATCTTCATCCTCATCTTCGGCATCACCAAATCACAGGGAGGTAAAAAAGAAGAGGAAAAGTGCAAAATCGGCTTCATCGAGATCGTCTTCGTCGTCGTCGTCGTCTTCCTCATCTTCCTCGTCTTCTTCCTCTTCGTCCTCTTCCTCATCTTCGTCGTCGTCATCCTCGTCGTCGTCCTCGGACTCGTCGGGATCGGAAATGGACGTGTTCAATGGCAAACTGAAAGGAAAGGCACTAAAAAAAGCCTTAAAGAAGAGGAAGAAGAGAGAAAAGGCACTAAAGAAAAAACTCAAAAAATGTAAAAAGCAAGCAAAAGAACAGCAGAAAAAGTCTATAAAAAAGAAGGTTAAAAGATTACGTAAGAAGCTGAAAAAGATGAAGAAGGACAGGAAGAAAGAAAGCAAGCGGTTGAAGAAGAAAGTGGTAACGAAGCAGAAGCACAAACCTGATGCAGTAAATCACGTGAAGAGTGAATCCAGCAAAGATAAAGGGTCAAAGTCTTCTAAAAATAAGATGGATATCACCGAAAACGGCTCGTCTTCAGTGGGCCCAAGCCTGGAGATGATGACGCCAAGCCAGGCCACAACACCCATGACCAGAGAGGAATGGGAGAAGCAGGAGAGTGTGATGCGACGTGTCTTTGATCAGGAGACCAACAGGCACAGGTAGGCTTTGATAAATAACCCAGATCACACGTGAAAGTGATGACGTTTTGGTCTGGCCTGGTCTAGGATGGACCCAAATTTCCTAATTTTCATTTCAATCGTGGGTTATTTATTTTCAGTTGTTATTGTAACTTATTCTCTGCATAGGGCCAAAGTATATTTTAATTGTACATTGCAGTATGTTCCATTCATGCTTATAAATATGATCTATACATAGTGTATATTAATATCTACAGTGGAATATCCAAAATTTGGAGCTTGAATAATGAATCCATCCAAATATCAGTCTGATTTTGCTACAAAATAACCCACATCAAATTTGTATTTAAATTAGTATTTATTTTTTTTCGAGTTGAAAGCCTCGCCCAGCTTTTCCAGATGACACAGTCTATGACAATAGACTTAGATTTGTCTATTGTCTATCTATTATTTGTTTCATAGGCTGATGACACAGCCTATGACAATAGACAGTAAATCAGTTGGGTTGTGTCACAGTTGGGTTAGGCCCCATTAAATTGGTTTGGTTGCTACAGTTGGGTTTGGCGTCAGTAAATCAATTGGGTTGTCACCATTGGGTTTGGCCCCAGCAAATCAGTTAGGTTGTATCACAGTTGGGTTTGGTCTCAATAAATCGATTTGGTTGGGTTGTGTGACAGTTGGGTTTGGCCCCAGTAAGTCAGTTGGGTTTGGCCCAAGTTGGGGTTGGCCTCAGTTGGGGTTGGCCCCAGTAAGTCAGTTGGGGTTGGCCCCAGTAAGTCAGTTGGGGTTGGCCCCAGTAAGTCAGTTGGGGTTGGCCCCAGTAAGTCAGTTGAGTTTTGTCACAGTTGGATTTAACTGCTTGAGTGTGTGTGTAATTACCTACGTGTAATTATCTAAGTGTAGTTACAGGATGAGAGCTATGCTCGTGGTGTCCCGTCTTCCCAGCACTCTTTGTCATTTAACGCTTTGAAATTACTGACGGTTTTGGCCTCCACCACCTTCTCACCTAACTTGTTCCAACCGTCTACCACTCTGTTTACAAAAGTGAATTTTCTTTCATTTTTCCGGCAGCTTTGTTTCGTTAGTTTAAATCTATGACCTCTCGTTATTGAAGTTCCGAGTCTCGGGAATTCTTCCCTATCAATTTTATCGATTCCTGTTACTATTTTGTACGTAGTGATCATAGCGCCTCTTTTTCTTCTATTTTCTAGTTTTTGCATATTTAATGCCTCTAACCTCTCCTTGTAGTTCTTATCCTTCAGTTCTGGGAGCCACTTGGTGATGTCTTTGCACCTTTTCCAGTTTGTTGATGTGCTTCTTAAGATATGGGCACCACACAACTGCTGCATATTCCAGCTTTGGTCTAACAAAAGTCGTGAACAATTTCTTTACTATTTCTCCATCCATGTATTAAAAAGCAATTCTGAAGTTAGAAAGTGTAGCAAAGGCTCCACATACAATGTTCTTAATGTGGTCCTCAGGTGACCGTTTTCTATCTAGAACCACCCCTAGATCCTTTTCTTTGTCAGAGTTCTTTAAAGATTTCTCACATAATATATAGGTTGTGTGGGGTCTATGTTCTCCAATTCCACATTCCATAACAAGACATTTATTCACATTAAATTCCATTTGCCAAGTGGTGCTCCATATACTTATTTTGTCCAAGTCTTCTTGAAGGGCATGACAATCATCTAGGTTTCTTATCTTCCCTATTATCTTGGCATCATCAGCAAACATGTTCATATAATTCTGTATTCCATCTTGTAGATCGTTTATGTAGACAATGAACATTACCGGTGCAAGAACTGAACCCTGTGGTACTCCACTTGTGACATTCCTCCAATTCGATACATTGCCTCTGATTACGGCCTTAATTTTTCTATCAGTTAGGAAATTTTTCATCCATGTTAGAAGCTTACCTGTTACCCCTCCAGTATGTTCCAGTTTCCAGAACAACCTCTTATGTGGAACTCTATCAAACGCCTTTTCTGGGGGAGCCCCTACGGCTCCCCGAAGCCATGGATAGCTCCGGGGAACCTCCGGGACGTCACCCAGAAAATGGCGTTTCATTACATTCAACGCTGGTTTTTTAGGTCCAGATAGATGCAGTCAACCCAACCATCTCTTTCCTGTAAAACCTCTGTGGCTCGATCATAGGAACTGAGTAAATTCGTTACACAGGATCTTCCAGATCGAAAACATACTGTCTGTCTGATATTATATCGTTTTTCTCCAGGTGGTCTACCCATTTAGTTTTAATTATTTTTCCAATATTTTGACCATTACATTTGTCAATGATACAGGTCTATAATTAAGGGGGTCTTCCATGCTGTCACTTTTGTAGATTAGAACTATGCCTTTTTCCACACATCAGCTACAACTCCTGTACACAGGGATTTCTGAAAAATCAGCTGAAGTGGTATGCTGAGCTCAGGTGCACATTCTCTCAGAACCCATGGTGAAACTCCATCTGGACCAACTGCTTTATTCTTACTTGGCTCTAAGAGCATTTGTTTTGCTTCGTCTCTAAACACCTCTGTGTGCTCTGTTGTTCTCTGGAATTCTTATTGTGTCTAGGTCCCTGAAGATCTCATTTTGTACAAACACACTTTGGAACTTTTTGTTTAATGTTTCACACATTTTCTTCTCATTTTCCATGTATCTTTCCCCCATTTTCAACCTCTGAATATTATCCTTTACCTGCAGCTTGCTTTTGATGAATTTATAGAAAAAGCCTGAATCTGATTTACATTCGTCTGCTATGCCATTCTCAAAGTTCCTCTCTGCCTCTCTCCTTACTGACGTGTAGTTGTTTCTCGCATCTTTGTATCGCTGGTATGTTTGGGGGTTTGGCCTCTTCCTATAGTGATTCCATGCTTGTGTTTTTTGAATCTCTGTCCCTCTCGCAATTTCTGTTGAACCAACCCTGTTTCCTATGTCTGCATCTCTGTTTTGGTATGAATGTTTGTGTGCCGTCTTCGTATATTTCCCAAAATATGGCGTTCATCTGGCGTTAGTGTGATTTCTGTGTGTAAAAGTAAGAATGCTAAAACAAAGTGTTGTCTGTGAGTGAGTATTAACCATATCAAGTGGATCTGGATTTCTTCCAACATTTTTAACAAGTAAAATCCCTTAAAACATACAAGGTTTTAATTAGTACCGTCTTTGGCTCTGTGAATGTATTGCTCTCAAACCCAAAAACAATGTTTTCAGTTTATCTTAAACTGCTAAACTATTTAAGAATCTTATATCAAGGTGCAAATGGAGGAAAAGGTGTTGAAAAAGATAAAGATGAACTGCATATGGCAATTTGAGAACAGGCATTAATTGCAAATAAAGATTGTAGCAATGAAATGGTTAATTGGTGTTTGATATGATGTTGTTAGAGTCTGAGCCTTTCAGTTTGTCATGTTCTGTTACAGATTGATAAAAGGCTCTGGAGAAGTGATGGAGGAGTGTGTTAGTCGTGATCGTCATCGTTCTATCAACAAGGCAGCCACACAAGGTGATGGAGAATTTTTCCAGGCCAATATGAAGTCTCGTGCTTCAAAATAGTCATTTCATTACGTCAGAAATCATTTCTCATCAGCTTTGTATGCAATTTTGATGAGCTTTTGGAAACTTTAGGAAACATCATCTTAGTTGTTTTTGAATATACATCTTAATTTTTTTTATTATTTAAGTACAGTAGTTTGTTATTATTTATACCATTTGCCAACAAATGATGATTGTCAGTCATTTTTTGTTAACCCTCTGTATTTAATTTTTTGAAGAACGAAGTGCAACTAATTCGCACATGGGAGATTATTGAGGTAATGGTATTAATAGATGATTGACAATGAAAGCATTAAATGCTGCATTTGGGAATTGCTTGGGTGTAAATTTTTTACTACAGTATATGTATAATTATGCTCACATTGGGTGTTTAACAAGATGTGCATTTATTGATATGTGAAATATTGATTTAATAATGAACACCTGATTATCTTGTGTGGTATGAGTGTACTTATGAATCTTATGAGTCTAGTGCAAGATTCAAATCTTTATATATCTTGATGAATCTTAGATTAAAAATCTAATAAGATATTCTTATTCTTGGATATCTAAGAATGTCTTAATTTTTGTGGAGAGAAGTTTTTTAGGGGGGTAAAAGGGGGCAAAATAGTGCTGCAATTCTTGCTTAATGTTTAGCATTTTCTTGTTCCCTTGTCATCTTTTTTAGTAGATTACTCACAAACACTTCTCCAAGTTTAATTGTTACATTGTATTCTTCCTTGTAGTTGTCATAACATACAATCATGAATGTAGTTTAAATAATCCCTCCATTACCTCAGTGTGTGTTGACGAGTGATTACGTTTTTATGCTTACATGCAACCTAGTTTTGTGTATAATTTCAGGGAAAAGTGATCATCAATAAGGGATTGTTTTAGTGTTGAGAATGTTCAGTATTTACTTTCTTTGGGGAGGGAGGGAGGGAGGGAGGGGAGGTACAATTGCAGAGGTTAATTGAGAAGGTGTACTGTAGTAAAGCCAGGCATCATGAGATGTGTACTGTAGTAAAGCCAGGCATCATGAGATGTGTACTGTAGTAAAGCCAGGCGTCATGAGATGTGTACTGTAGTAAAACCGGGCATCATAAGATGTGTACTGTAGTAAAACCGGGCATCATAAGATATTTACAGTACTGTAGTAAAGCCGGGCGTCATGAGATGTGTACTGTAGTAAAGCCAGGCATCATGAGATGTGTACTGTAGTAAAACCGGGCATCATGAGATGTGTACTGTAGTAAAACCGGGCATCATAAGATATTTACAGTACTGTAGTAAAACCGGGCATCATAAGATATTTACAGTACTGTAGTAAAACCGGGCATCAAAAGATATTTACAGTACTGTAGTAAAGCCGGGCGTCATGAGATATTTACAGTACTGTAGTAAAACCGGGCATCATAAGATATTTACAGTACTGTAGTAAAACCGGGCATCATAAGATATTTACAGTACTGTAGTAAAACCGGGCATCATAAGATATTTACAGTACTGTAGTAAAACCGGGCGTCATGAGATATTTACAGTACTGTAGTAAAACCGGGCATCATAAGATATTTACAGTACTGTAGTAAAACCGGGCGTCATGAGATATTTACAGTACTGTAGTAAAACCGGGCGTCATGAGATATTTACAGTACTGTAGTAAAGCCGGGCGTCATGAGATATTTACAGTACTGTAGTAAAACCGGGCGTCATGAGATATTTACAGTACTGTAGTAAAGCCGGGCGTCATGAGATATTTACAGTACTGTAGTAAAGCCGGGCGTCATGAGATATTTAAAGTACTGTAGTAAAGCCGGGCGTCATGAGATATTTACAGTACTGTAGTAAAACAAAGTACTGTAGTAAAGCTGGACATAATCGTCTGGACCAGGATTCATCGAGCATTTATGCATCAACTTACGAAACTTGTACATCTTACTACGGCTTGATTTCTATTTATGAAATACTGTAATTAGCCAGCTGGGAAGCACTATGAGGATGTCTATGATGACAATAGCCTCGAGATGCGAAGTTTCGAAGCTCGTAAACTGTTGAATAAATATCAACAGGTACCATTATTGATGACAATGTACAGGTGCATAAGTGGAGCTGGTTTGTATGGTGAAAACAACATAAATGCTGTGCTGTGTTTCTTGCATTAATATTACTGTGATGTCTCATTTGTGACATACCATACTGTGCTGTAGCAAAATGTGCACCACACACAAATGTGCACCACACATGTAAATGTAAAAGCATACTTTATATCTATCCTGTAAATCATAAATATAATACTTCTCCCCGTCTCTCCACCCAACCACTTGATCTGGACGGTAGAGCGACGGTCTTGCTTCATGCAGGTCGGCGTTCAATCCCGACTGTCAAAGTGATTGGGCGCCGTTCCTTTCCCCCGTCCCATCCCAAATCCCTATCCTGATCCCTTCCAAGTGCTATATAGTCGTAATGACTTGGCACTTTCCCCTGATAATTTTCCCACCCCCTCTCGCTCTCCTTCTTTTTTGTCTGTCGTTGTAAAGCTCCCTTTCATTGAGGTAGACATTTACACCACACATCATTTTCTAACATTGCTGAAAGTATTGTGTGTGTGGCAGCCGTGTGATAGACAAGTAAATACATGTATTTAGAGCTGTAATTCTATGCCCTGTGTTAACTTACATTGAAAGGCATTTTTTGGCAAAATAATGATCTTGATTCTATATTCTTAGTTATTTCATAAGCTGGTAATTATAGTTATTTTGATACTGTATGAGGGATGTGCTGGTAGCCTCTCTTGTGGTGACATTACTGTGTGCTGGTAGCCTCTCTTGTGGTGACATTACTGTGTGCTGGTAGCCTCTTGTGGTGACATTACTGTGTGCTGGTAGCCTCTCTTGTGGTGACATTACTGAGTGCTGGTAGCCTCTCTTGTGGTGACATTACTGAGTGCTGGTAGCCTCTCTTGTGGTGACATTACTGAGTGCTGGTAGCCTCTCTTGTGGTGACATTACTGAGTGCTGGTAGCCTCTCTTGTGGTGACATTACTGAGTGCTGGTAGCCTCTCTTGTGGTGACATTACTGTGTGCTGGTAGCCTCTCTTGTGGTGACATTACTGTGTGCTGGTAGCCTCTCTTGTGGTGACATTACTGTGTGCTGGTAGCCTCTCTTGTGGTGACATTACTGAGTGCTGGTAGCCTCTCTTGTGGTGACATTACTGTGTGCTGGTAGCCTCTCTTGTGGTGACATTACTGAGTGCTGGCAGCCTCTCTTGTGGTGACATTACTCTGTGCTGGTAGCCTCTCTTGTGGTGACATTACTCTGTGCTGGTAGCCTCTCTTGTGGTGACATTACTGAGTGCTGGTAGCCTCTCTTGTGGTGACATTACTGAGTGCTGGTAGCCTCTCTTGTGGTGACATTACTGTGTGCTGGTAGCCTCTCCTGTGGTGACATTACTGAGTGCTGGTAGCCTCTCTTGTGGTGACATTACTGTGTGCTGGTAGCCTCTCTTGTGGTGACATTACTGAGTGCTGGTAGCCTCTCTTGTGGTGACATTACTGTGTGCTGGTAGCCTCTCCTGTGGTGACATTACTGAGTGCTGGTAGCCTCTCTTGTGGTGACATTACTGAGTGCTGGTAGCCTCTCTTGTGGTGACATTACTCTGTGCTCTGCTTTTTCCCAATTCAATTTCAAAGTCCAGTGATTAACAAAAAATATAATGATGCTCAACATATCCATTGTATAAGATCAAGGCCACATATGGGTGAATTAATATGTTAAAGAACAATTGTAATATTTTGATGGCATATACCCATAATGTAAATCCAAATTATTGTTCAAATTTGATAGTTGTGGGGAATTTTTTCAGGTGAAGAGAGGTGTGATGTTGACTCTGATATTGTACAGCCAGTTTACTTTGTGTATATGGAGGAAATGTTTATATTTGTTATATATTAGGACTATTCTGAAAGTGAAAGGTTATACACTTTCACTTGTAAATTTGTAGTAATGAAGTCTTTTATAAGAATCGGCTTAGTGCACTTACATATCCTAGTAAAGGATTGGTTAAATTGAAAGTAATGTAGTGAAGGTTAAAAGAAATTTGTATCAATATTTCACATATAATAAATGCCTTTCGTATACAAAGAATGTTAATGATGTGGCTAAAATGATTAACTAAATGAATACACATGAAAAGGAAGGAATGTGATGACATTTTGACCCATCCTAGTCTCGATAAGGGTCAAAGATGGGCTGAAATGTCGTCATGTTCCTTTCTTTTCATATGAGTAGGTTGGGTTAATTATTTGCCTAGCTTATATCACAGTAACTATCTTCATATAACCATCTTTTCTGGCACGTAGGTGAATTTTTGCTGCATTTCATCATTTTGCAATGAAATCCATAAAATAATTCTAGGGCCTCATACCAGAAGCAGCACATGAGATTATGTTCATGAATGGATGTCCCTCTTGTCAACTGGATATCTATCTTGCTATCTTGCCTAACCCATATGAAAAGAAATGAAAATTGTTTTGTCACAACTTTATAAGGTGTCCTGAAGAGACCATAGCATCATCACTTTGATGATGCTATAGATATATATATAATAATATATATATATATATATATATATATATATATATATATATATATATATATATATATATATATATATATATATATATATATATATATATATATAAATATATATATAATATATATATATACTGTACTGTACTGTATATATAAATAATATAAAATCTGTGAACTATCTTGAGAGAGACAATCTGTTCAAGAACTTTATCCATTAAAAGATTTTGAAAAACTGTGGGAAAATATGAATGTTGTTTGTAATCATGAAGGTAAAGCAGCTTCCATTTGATAGTGTCTAGCAGTTATAAGGGTAAACAATTTCCATTTGATTTTTGGCCTGGTACTCATATGGTGACTACAATAAATTGCCATTTGATTGTTGTTTGGCAGCTCTATGGGAAAACAAATGTCATTGATAGTTGTTCAGATGCAAGGGACCTTAAGCTTGAGACACAGGATTCCCTAGTGTAAAGGTTGAGTCACAGGAGGCCTTAGTACGAAGGATGAGCCTCGGAGAACTTAGTACAAAGGTCGAGTCACAGGAGGCCTTAGTACAAAGGATGAGCTTCAGAGACCTTATTACAAAGGTTGTTGCAGGAAGCCTTAGTACAAAGGAGGAGCCTAGGAGACCTTAGTACAAAGGTCAAGCATTGGAGACCTTAGTACAAAGGTCAAGCATTGGAGACCTTAGAACAAAGGTCGAGTTGCAGGAGGCCTTAGTACGAAGGATGAACCTCGGAGACCTTAGCACAAAGGTTGAGACACACGAGCCACAAGTGGTAGCGTAATATTACTGTATCAAACGAATAAAATCATCACTGGATTAAAACACTATTTTTTATTTATCTTATGCCAGTATGGTACATACTACGTTTGTGACACACGTACTACTTTAGTGTGTCAACGTTGTACCTCTCTTGCATATTGTCAGATTAAAACCATCTTTGAATAAATTGTTGTGTTCTGAATGAGGGCATTATGTATACTGTACATCAGTTAATTTGGCCTGTTCTCTTGATTTGCCACACCGTAAAAGATGGAACTGTTTAGTCTAATCAGGAACTTACAAACCCAAGCAGCTAAACTAACCTATCGAGGCTGATGTGTTTATGCGCCAAATGTGTGTGTGAATTCGAACGAGTGACGAAGGGCAAGAGTGGGGGGGGAAAGCGGACTGCTGCCTCTTGGGGACCGGCGGGTAAGGTAGGTGAGCGGGCGTTTTGTGTGAAGCGGTCCATGGCGGGAACGAGAGTGATTGCAAGACCCCTCTTCCATTGCCTTTTATATGGCCCCCCCCCCCCTGTACTGCCCGCACAGCGCTTGAGGATGGCGCTGCGCAAGTGTCTTATTCTCGCATCAGAAATTCCTCCGCTTTCCTGTGTAAAGCAGTGGTCATTTCTCATTATGATTGCCTATGGAAAACGTACCAGTATATATGCATGCACATAAACACATTGTATAGTATATATAATATCAATCATCTGTCTACCTATCAATAATTAGGGCAGAGAGGTTCAAAGGAAGAAAAAAAAAGTTGAATGTTTCTTTACTGGATACAATACTGTATATTGGTTGGTACCTGCTCTTATACTGTATGTAGCTCATGACGATTGGTACCTGCTCTTATACTGTATGTAGCTCATGACGATTGGTACCTGCTCTTATACTGTATGTAGCTCATGACGATTGGTACCTGCTCTTATACTGTATGTAGCTCATGACTATTGATACCTGCTCTTACATATACTGTGTGTAGCTCATGATTAAACAATCAAGTTAAAATCATGTCCTTGTTGTGTTAGAGATGCCACACAGTGCTTTGTAGGAAGTTAAAGAAGAAATGTCTGATCACTTTCCAGATTTGCTCTAGTCTTGGTATGCTATTACAGTATTTCCATTTGATAAATGCTTTTTAAAGAAAAATTTCTAGTGATACTATGTATACTGGTACTGTACATTGTAATTCACAACACCACCATCAGAAGATAACAAAGCAACTATTGAGTAGGTGCTGCTTTAGTAAATGGAAATCACGTAAATTATTATTTTGATAGATATCGTGTAAAGTTAAAAAAAATTTTTTTGTTCAATTTCAATATTTGTATTTAATTTAATAATTTATTTAATCCCCCTGTGCAAGTAATGTTGATTCAACAATACATCAGTGTTGATTCAATGTTGATTAAATGTAACTGGAACACATTTTGCTCGCTGGGTTACTGTTATTATCTTGGACAGACTTCAAGTGTATGAAGAGTCTGTCTTCGTTGTCATTTTAGGCTGTGTTGACGTGTTTAGTTCTGATGCGTTCCTTATATAGTGTTTTCCATTTTCTCAAATTAAAACCTATTGGATATTTGATATGCTGTTAACATGTTGAAGTTCATCAGTACATGATACAGGGATTTTAAAAAATTAGTTTAAAGACAAATGACATGTACATTGTGGATTTTAGATAGACAGCAATTATTCTTCGCAAATTAGGAGATAATTTTAGCTAAATAAAAACATTTTTCACATCTACTGTAGTATGACATTCAATCTACATTCCTTACGAGTATTTAGTATTTATCCCTTCATCATAAATTTTAACGACATATTTTGTTACACCTTAATGTAGGTATGATATTTTCCAGCATGTAAGACTTGCCTCTGCATAACACACATTTATTTCTGTTCGGGGGAGAAAAAACAAACACACGTCTAGTTTGGAGGTACTTTTATTAATTTAGTTAAGAAAAATTAATTTATAAATTATTAGTAATAATCTTATGGAGTAACATTTTGTTGTAAAGTAAGATTAGGAGTAGCTTTAAGTAAAACTTTTATGACAGTGTTAAGCATAGGTGAATAGGTACAATGTAAATACCAAGGTGTAGGAAAATAGTCCATATTGACTGTAGGTATATACTTATTACGACATAAGAAGGGAAATAATACATAAGAAGTAAGAGCGAGGAAGTATAACAGCCTATTGACATAGCTTGAGTGCATGGGGGGAGTTGTGTAAAACCTTGATTTGTGTCTCGAGGCTGCAGGATCCAAGTAAGTTAGGTACAACTTCTGGTTTCAGCTCTTTTGACCATGTCGTAGCTCGGTCGATTAAGGCAGCATCTGGGATAATCTCGGACATAGGTTCGAATCCTCGTTACGGCCCTTGTGGATTTGTTCATTGATGCATCACGCTATTGTGATTTGTGTGTGTAAATAATACATAGTTACAAACAGAAATCACAATTGTGTGATGCATCAAATGAACAAATCCACAAGGGCCGTGACGAAGATTCGAACCTGCGTCCGAGAGCATCCCAGACGCTGCCTTATTTGACTGAGCTACGACATGGTCAAAAGGAGTTGAAACCGAAGTTCTATTGAACTTACTGGATCCTGCAGCCTCTCCGAGGCACAAACCAGGGTTTTACACAACTCCCCCCATGCACTCGAGTTATGTCAATAGGCCATTCTCCCTCTTCGCCCTTCATTACACACAGAAATCACAATTACGTGATGCATCAAATGAACAAATCCACAAGGGCCGTGACGAGGATTCGAACCTAAGTCTGTTCGGAGTTGTGTAAAACCCTGGTTTTACCCTGCCCGGCCAAGGGGCATAGTAACTGAAGGGGAGGGGGCCCACATGGGCGTAAATCAGCAAATGGGGGACCCATCGGGGCCCGAGGGGACGGGGGGGGAAGGTCGTCGGGCCCAAACAAGGGGCATAAAACTGAAGGGGGCCCCGCATGGGCGCAAGAGAGCAAATGTGGGCCCAGCGGGGCCCGCAGGGAACATGGCGAAGGGGAGGGGGTTGTTGGGCCCAGCTAAGGGGCATAAAACTGAAGGGCCCCGCATGGGTGTATAGAGCAAATGGGGGCCCCGTGGGTCCCCATTTGGTGTAAAACTGAAGGGCCCTGCACGGGCACAAAGCGAAAGCGGGGCCCAGCGGGGCCCGCAGAGAACGTGGCAAAGGCGAGGGGATGTGGTCGGGCCCAGCCAAGGGGCATAAAACTGAAGGGGCCCCCGCAGGGTGTAAAGAGCAAAAGTGGGGCCAGCGGGCCCCACGGAGAGGGGGGAGGGTCGTGCCCAGCCAAGGCGCCTAAAAGATGAAGTGGGGGGTGGGGGGAGCCCAACCTGGGGCTTAGTAACTGAAAGGGGGAGTCTCAGCCTGGGCGTGGGGGTGCGGAAGAGGCGCCCGGGGCCCGAAACCAGCCCCAGCCCTACTCGACCTCGTCACCCAGCCCCTAGCACCTCCCATGGCCCCGCCCAGAGGCACATCCTGAGGCCCCCGGCGCACTAGCCGAGGGAAAAATCCCCCAAGGGGGTAAGAAACCCTCGAAGCGCCCGGCCACGTGGGAGCGAGACGCCACCAGGCATGTGGTGCGGCTCCGTCCCACGGGCATGAGAAGCCCGGTGGGCGTGGGGGACCCAGCAGGCGCCCACCACGTGGCCCGAGAGGCCCGCCCGTGCGTCGAGGCCAAAACACGCTTGGGCGAGGC